CACGCATCTCCATTTCAGATTTTGGAGAGGCAAAGCGTGAAATGGACACAGCGGACCAACATGTCTATTGCACGTTTTGCTCTGATATTAAGTTGACCTGCCACTGCAGTAAATGAGGACCATGAGTAATATAACAAACTAACCTCCTATTATCAGTTTTAATTTACAAACCAACCCTCACAGTCTCTTCCGTTTATCCCAGTCTCTGGGTAGAGGGAAGCTGGAGTCTATCCCAGCTACCATAGGGCAGGAGGTGGGATACACCCTGGACAGATGGCCAGTCTGTCGCACAGCCAACAGTAAATAAACAAATATATTTAGATAAATATATAACTGTACCAAGTTGTAATTTCAACCTGAGTTTTTGTTATTATTCCTGCAGTACCTTGGCAGCCCACCAGGTGAATACACATGTAAATACACAAATCAGCCACAACTTTAAAAACCACCATGGGCGTCCCATGGCTGGCAGGGAAAGCTGGCAGTGGATCATTTTGATCCTGTGGGTTACAAAGTGAGAGTCTGGAGTCTAGATCAATACCATGGGCTCTTTGTCCTGTTTCTTGAGTCTTTTTTGAACAGCTCTTGTGAAATGAGGCAATGTCCAGCTAAGAGAGGCCACTGTCATTGGGGAATGCCATCACCATGTGGGTGTGCTTGGTCTGTAGCATCCAGATGCATGAAGGTTTCCCAGCAGACAATTGCGCAGCAGTGAAAGATTCAACTACTTGTTGGCGTCTTAATATTTAGCTGTTGTTGCTGAATGGATATATGATCACACGCTAAATGGTTAGCTGCAACTCATAATAAGAGTCAATCTGCCTTTTGAAAAAAGAAATACCAAAGGGACCAAAGACTGAAAAACAAACAAAAACAACAAAAATAAAAGGCTGTCGGCAACTGGTGAATTCAGTTTTCACTTGATGTTGAAAACAGTTAAGATTTCATTCCCAAGTTTTCATTTGTCTCCTACTGTGAAGGAAAAAAAATTCTGAACACCAGAATTTAATTTGGCAACATAAATTAAGTCAGAGTGAAAGTTATTCTAGCTTGCAGACATAATTCATGATTCATTCTCAAAAATATATTTCTTTATTTCTGTTGAAATAGTGACTCTTAAAATGATGCCAAAGACTGTATCAGTATCAGAATTCATTGGGGGGCCAGCCTTATCAATAGTTACCCAGCAAGAATGACAACCTTGAAACTTGCTATACAAAGCCACTCACCTATCAAGAACGATTGTAGCATAACAAGAAAATGGTTATTTTATCATCTAATCACAGAGTCATTCATCTTGCAGTGTCATGATTATCCACCTGACAGAAACCCCTCACACCAAGTATAAGAGAAGATTAAGTACAAGCATGCGTGCCAGTGTTGAGGAACACAGCTGAACAAATTAATTATTGATGGGATTCTTTCAAAGTCTGTGGCGTCACTAGGTATCCATTGTTACCTCTGTTGTTGTTTGCAGCTCTTAGCAGGGCAGAGAGGATGGAGACGAAGTAGAGAAGAATGAGGTCTACGAACTTCGCCTCTCTCCTCCCGCCTATGAGGTGCATCATGTCACAGTCAAATGCTCCCTTTTGGAATCTAATTTTCTCTGAGTTTTATTCATCTAATAACACAGTGAGCATGTTTGACTAGTACTGCAAATCTGAGTATAATCGTGCATTTACTTATTAATTTTATTTTACTCATATCGATCAGCTGATGAGTAATATATATTGATGAAACATGTCAAGCACCAGTACACAAAACGTATTACAATTGTTTATTTTTAACTTTATATCTATAGGGAAATATACTGTCAGTTCTAGGGTAGTGATCTGGAAAGAAAAAGCCCCTGTCTAACAGAATGGTTTTATAGCCAGGCAGCGTGGAAATAACTCTAAAATACTGGCAAAATTCCTTCTACTCATTGCAAGGGTACCTTGGCCATGCGTGATCTGCTGCTGAAGACATTGACAAGTAGCTGTGGTGCCAGAATGGCTTAAGTTCCTGTGCAGAGTTGCTTTAGGCATGCAAAAGTGACAGATTTCAACACTGCTGGACAAATATTTTGTGTGACTTTGTCATAGTGTAAGCAGATAATATAGGGTACATTATAGTTTTTGAAATCGAAGTTAAAATCTAAGTCCTAAAACTCTTCAAAGTAGGAATAACTTCATTTTATAGCTTACTTTAAAGACCTTTTGCAGTTAATGTACACAGACGTAAACACCATCAAAATCATATTTCAGTTACAAAATATTCTATTTTTTACTGTAATTACACCTCAGCTAATCACAAAAAAATAAGTTAGTGCCTTCCTAGTATGTTCATCAGTGATACGAAACCAACCAAATCATTTAACACCAGCATCCAGTACTCAAAGATAACAGGTAGTTCAAGAGATCGTTTGTAAGAATGGAACATGCTTTTCTGTGATACAGAAATTAATTAATCTATTTGGTCTCATTTATTTGCCAAGACTCATTATGGCAGAGCAGAATCCCAGCAATGATAGACGCTGGTGCTGGTGAAGATGGGGACTTGGATGGGTTCTGATTGAGCAGGGTGAGGCAGAGATGGGGAGGAGGTGGCTGTACAAATGACAGACTGGAAGACAGAAGAGCACTGAGATTTAAAGCACATGGGTTGGAGCTGATTGGCTCACTGAAGGTGGGCAAGAGAATGATTGGTCTTGAGTAATGATGTCAGCATTGACTTTGACAGCGTGGGAAGTGCAGTAAAGAATAGACTAGCAGGTGGACATCAAGGAAGTGGCTAAATGGGTGGTTACAGATCTTCTATACTGAACGCATGAATAAGTTTCATCATGAGCACAAAATTGAGAAAAACTAGAAAATTGAGAAAATTGCTGAAAAATCTAAATTTCAACGATTTATTTTTGCCATGCTAACAAACATGCTAATGTTCAACTTTATGGCCACTCGAGGTTAGACAAGATTAATGTGACTCTATTTCTGAAAATGAATTAAACACTCATAATTGTGTTTGTATTATATGCACATAAATATGTGTGTGTTTTTCCTGAAACAATGTAAAATCCATTGTTTTGGTTTTTGGTTTACATTTAAGACCATTCATTAACTCATGGGCACAGTGCTTTGCAAGTTTTCACCAATCAGTGAGTTAAGGTCCTATTGTTTATGACATTGATAAAAGTTTTTAATGATATATATATAATTTTTTAAAATGGGTCATTGGTAAGGGTTACACCTAACAGCAAAGTAAGGATTCATAAATGGAACATGTCATGGCAGACAGTGCAAGCACCATGTAAACTTACAGATGTCTATGGTGAATAAGTCCGATTTTGCAGTCGAACATAGAAACATACCAAATGTTTAAACTGAGATATTTCGTTATTTTGTGAAAATTTTTAGCTCATTTTAAATTTCATGACAGCAATAGAAAAAAAAGTTGACACAGGGCTTACTACTGTAGCATCCCCTTTTTGTAATGACACACTCTAAACATCTGGGAACTGAGGAGACCAACTGCTGGAGTTTTGGTAGAGGAATGTTGTCCCAGTCTTCTCTTATATAGGATTCTAGGTGTTCAGCAGTGTGTTTCCTTTTCATATCTTTCATTTCATGTGCAAAATATTTTCAGTTGGTGAATAGCCTGGACTGCAGGCAGACCAGCTAAAGCCATGAAGTTGTAATAGCTGCAGTATGTGGTTTAGCAACGTCTTACTGAATGCAAGACCATCCATGAAAAGTACATCTAAAAGGGAGCACAAGTTGCTCTGGATCATGTTAGCATATGTTTTTTTTGTATGATAGATTTCTTATCCTGGATCCTGGACAGTGTTTACAGACAGTGACTTCTGGAAGTGTTCCCCAGTCAAAGCAATGGTTTCCATGTCAGAATCATGCCTGTATTTAATGCAGTGCTACCAGAGGGTCTGAAACCCATGAGTGTCCAGTATTGGGGTTTTTTGGCCTTGTCCTTTGCACACAGCGATTCTCCTGATTTTTTTGATATTGTGTTACTGCAGAGGATGAAATATTCAGAGTCTTAGCAATTTCATTATGAGGAAGGTTACTCTGAAATGGCTCCGCTATTTGTAGATGCAGTTTTTTTTTCCAGATTAATAAGCCTCTGCCCATCTTTCCTTCTGAGAAACTCTCTAAGTTGCTCTTCCTTCCTTCTACCACTTCCTTTTCCAGCCTTTTGTTGCTCTGTCCCACTTTTTTACTCAGAAAGTGTGGCGACATCAAATTCATAAATACCTATTTTTCAGTGACACAGTAAAAAGTCTCAGTTTAAATATCTATTTTTTCTATGTTTTGTTGTGAAAAATGTGATTACAAGAAATCACTGCGTTTTTACACAGCAACCCTTTTTTTGATTGGGGTTGTAATTTTATTTTCCAGTTTTAAATCACCTACCATCTCTAAGTGATTGTCCATAGACTCCGTTTAAAAATCACAGGAGGTAAAATATCAGGTATGTATTAGGGAGCATACTGCACAGACTGCCTCATGGAAGAAGCAGTGTGTTGTGAATGCCTGTGTATGTTTGACTGCAGTACCCGAAGCCCACAGTGCCATCAGGCCTTTAAAAAGGGAACTGCTACTTTCTCATAGACTCCCTTCCTTCCTCGTCTCACGTTCCCTTTTGGTTTCCACTTCTTTCTCAGACACATATATAATTATATATAACCGTATTTTCCATGACGTTTCGGTGAAGCATTTGCACGTTACAAAGGTGTCGCGGACAAATTAGGTTCAGTTTACCCTCAGAATATATTGCTGCTTTATGTCCCATGTGCCCGTGTGCGTCAACGTTTCTGTGCGCGCCAGAGGAGAGGCTGAAATCTGGAAAGACATATCTGGACATATAAGGAAGGTTAACAAAACGCGTGGGGTCTAAATGAATATACCACTAAATGGACGAATTGCGTATGTGACGTGATAGAACACGGCACACACGCCCAGGCAAACACACAGCTTTACCACACACACTTGAGTAGGACACCGGGCAGAGTGCGTTCCGCTGATCATCTCCGTCCCTCCCTCCAGCAATCGGATTGCCTGTGCCACTGACGACAGCCAGTCACACAGTACCGAGAGTGTGCTGTGGAGAGACTGCATCAGGGAGCTGTGCGCTTGGATCGGGAGCAGTGCGTGGGAGTTGTTCTCTACCTGCCATTTGCATTCCTTCTTTATTCTCATCGGACGAGTTCGGGCTCACAAGGAGCCCCATTACCAAGGGAGGATCGCGCTGTATGTGCGCGTTTGTGTGGGTTATCTGTTTTAACTACTGCTATCGTCTCAGAACTGCAGCAGTGCCGTTTTGGAGAAAGTCGTTGGAAATCAGCAGGAAACGGCTGCCTGGTGTCTGTTCTCCCTTGTCATCTTTTAAAGCTATCTATCAAGGAGATGGACTTGAGATAGTGCGTCTCAGTTTAAGTGTTGGTGGCTGGGAGTTGCCGTCGGGAAGAAATGCGAAAGGATGCTTGGAAGCAGTGAGGGCTACAGCAGGTGAGTATTTGGTTAATAAAGCCAGTGAAATAAAATAAAATACATTTAGGAAAAACTGTTTTTAAAATAAATCAATCAATAAATAAATAAAATAATGCAGATACATTTCGGTTTCCGTGCTTATGTCACTGCGGTTTAATGTGGGGTGAGGCCAAGATTTTAGAGAGGTGGATAGTATGCAGCCAAACCCTGGTCTCCCCCTGGCTACTTTGAAGAAAACATCCATCAAATATGTGAATTCTAGTGCGCTAGTGGCGACATCAGTTCATAAGAGAGGTTTATTTGTAACTCCAAGGAGCGCTTTCCGATGTCAAATCAACAATATACATATACACATATATTCCTGCAAGTCCCAAATGATAAGGACAGAATTTGTTGACAGGACAGAAAAGCAAACGGGGACTTGAGTGTGATTAGGCGCGTCCTCTGCAGGTATCAGAACATCCAATAAAGACACATTCCAAATTCATTTAGAGTTTTGTTATCGGTGCACATTTTAAATCTGCTTTTCTGCTCATTTCTGCGTGTCCGTGTGCTCGTCGGAGAGGACGAAAGCTTAAAGCATTAATCAAATTTAATTGTCCCGCGAATGTGTGCGTGTGTGTGTGTTTGTGTTCGTGAGAGAGAGAGAGAGGCAGAACATGGACTGTGTGTGTGTGTAGGGAGGTGAGTGAATTGCAAAATGTTATCTTCATCTAGCCTTTATTTGACCACGTATAGGCTCTGCTGAGATAACATTTGTCATTGTGTTGAAGTGTGAGGCAGTCGTGATCCTCCCTCCTATGCCATTTTATTCATCTGCAAAGATGGCTATCTGTTAAATGGGCAGCGTATAAAAAGCAAGCAGGCTTCTGCAGCGGTGTGGTGGTGCATTTCTTTTTTTCTTTTTTGTGAAACGACTTGGGACTCTTTGTTTTCAACTAGACTACAGACGTGGGATCTATATATAGCACCAATTGCGACGAAACAGTCCACAAGATGAAACTTGTGCGTTTATGGTGCCACACTCCATCTGTTGTTTGTTATTAGAGGCTGCATTTTTAGGGAATGTGACAGCGGCCCCTGAATGTCTTCCCGCTTTATTGTGCAGGACAGCCTATTATAATGTGTGTACTGTTATATGCATATAATTCTCACAAAAGCTGTTGAGGCAGAGCATCAGAAGACTCTGTGATGCTGTGCCTGCAGACATTCATAAAGTGCTGTAGCTCTATTGGTTATAAATAGCCGGAAGGAGCGGACAGCCAGCTCGAACAGGAGCAGCCTCCAGTCGTTCCATCAGCAGCAACAGCAGCAGCACAGCTTCTCTGGCATTATCTGGGCGCACAATCTAACGTGATAGATAGGGGGTACACTGAGATATCACACAGCCACAAGGGTGTGGCACCTGTATGTGTGTGGGTGAGTGGGGGGCTTTGGTTGGATGGTCCGATGTGCTCTCCCTATCAAGGTACCTTTGTTTGCTTCTTGGACTCAGTAATGACTTTAGAGTGACCCCATTACAGTAAGTGTTTTTCTGTTTTTTGGTTCTTTTTTTAAAATCCTGCCCTGTGGTTGTTAATTTTATCCCTAGGCTTAAAGCCCTATTTCTGTCATGTTTTACTGTTTTTTGTTTTCATTGATGATTGGCACACTGCTGACTCAATCATAGCTGCTTTGCAGCAGTTAAGAGGCTCCTGAAGTGTGTGATCCGCTTTGTCCAGACGCCCCGGCTGCCTTCATTAAACAAATGTGCAGCCACTGACCTTGACTATCTACATTTTTTTCAGTAGGATTAACCTCTTTGCCCTACAGTACAGTAGGCTACGACACACATGTAGAAAACACTCCTCTCCATTCTGGCCTACAAATGCATGCTGCTGTTGGCATGCAGTATTGAATTACAACGTGCTGATCAATGTTTGCAATAAGCTAAATCTCTACATAGCGGGCAGTATAATACAGAGTATCAGATATCACAGGAAAATCTTGATCCTCGTAACACCATTATATTTCAGTGAAGAATGGTTATGTCTTAGTAGCCCATGCTTGAAATGTAACCAGATATAGACAGAGAATGGAACAGTAAACTAATGAGATCAGACTGAAATATGTGTGCAGCATTATTCATTCATGGTAGAGATCAGCCTCATCATAGACAGCAGACTGGGACAGAGAAGCAGTCAAGACAAAGTGGGTGGTGATGGTGTGGACCATGATGTTAGTGTATGATGACTGATCACAGGCTTGCTTTCTCACAACACACTAAGTGACCAATAGTGAGTGGATTTATGATGTGTTAACATGTATCCTGGAGACACTCATCCTGGGTGTAAAGCTAACACCTACCGCATTGACAAGGTGTTTATTAGCTCCCAGTTGTGAGGCCACGGTGCCCACATAATGCTAGGATGGCAGCGCTGAGACTTTTCACATGAGACTGCAATTACGTTGTTTTTATAAGCCCCCGGCTGTCGTTCCACTTTTTGCCCGAGGCTGGGTGGTGTGGTTATAAAAGATCTGTAGTGGGATCATAGTGGCTATTTGATGGGAGGAGGAAGCATCTTGTTCACATGTCACTTTTGTCCTTGGCTGATATCTTTAGAAGTGGGTAAGGAGAAGGAACAGCTATATGTGCTGTCAAAAACTCATGAGCATTTTTATTCTCGCTTTTGTAGTTTCAGCAGTGCAATCACTTTCATGTAAGTATTTCCATCTATTGGGAAAGTGTCCCAGACAGCATAGCAGAGGTGCTGGAAACAGCTCCTCAACAGTGTCAACAGCAATCTATTTCTTTTCTTTCCCATAAGGCTAACCTGCCCAAGTCAAACGCAACTTATGAAATGCAGTGTAATTTTTTTTATAATGTAGCAGCTGGCTGCCATGTAGGGGCTGTGTCTCATTGCAGATTTAAACTACTTTTATGTGTTACACTCTGTGTTTGTGTTTCTTTGCAGTTGTGCACATATTATATATTTACTGGTCTTGTGGTGGTGCAGTGTCAGGGTTTGTTAAAAAACTCCAAAAAGTTAAAGAAGCACATGTTTAATGTGTTACGTTACTATAAAAAACGTTCTTTAGAATATCTGTTAATTTATTCTGAATTTCTACAATTCTTACTGTAAATGATTTACTGTAAAAGATATTTGAGGATATGTGGCCCTTGCTGTGCCCTCAAGTTTACCACGATAGGGCGATTGTTATGCCTTTTGGTCAAAGGTCAGTAGTTAGTGCATAGTCTGATTAAGTTACATAAGCAAAGTGATAAATAAGTTCAAAGTTAAGAAATATTCTAAGTAATTCATGCTAAAAACAGTTAAAATGTATGGATTCGAAATTTGCTCAGAGTGAGACATCGTTATCACAAGCGATCTTTGTATTGTATGTGCGGAAACGGGAGCGAGGGAGCGCTCTGACTATTCACATATCTTTGACGTGTTTTCTCCGTTAATTCCGTGAAAAGTGCTTCGGCAGTATTAAAAGAGTGAACGAGTTCATGTACACGCTTGTACCTTGGGAAACGTTCGTCTTTGTGAATATTAATGTGTTAAGAAACAACTTTTATATGTGTTTACCTGGAGTGAACTGCGATGCTAATGTAACGCACGTGTTAAGCTAGGCTAATCTTTAAGTTTGTCATTAAGATGTGTATTAGCTAGCAATTTATTTTCACTTTCTGTATATTTCAGTTACAAATAAGAAATAGCAAGGAGAAGCCTTGAGAGAGATAAGGCTTTAAAGAATCTTCATTAAAAGCAAGCCTTGTGTGGAAGATCTCGTCTATTTTGTTCGCTAGCTGTCTAGCGTCACATGGTCATGTGTGGTAAGGGCAGCATAGCGATCGTGGCTCAAGAGTTGGGAGTTTGCCTTGTAATCGGAAGGTTGCCGGTTTGAGTCCAGGCTTGGCCAGTCTCGGTCGTTGTGTCCTTGGGCAAGACACTTCACCCGTTGCTTACTGGAGGTGGTCGGAGGGCCCGGTGGTGCCACTGTCGGGCCAGCCGCGCCTCTGTCAGTGCGCCCCAGGGTGGCTATAGCTTGCCAATGCCATCACCAGTGTGTGAATGGGTGGATGACTGGTTGTGTAAAGCGCTTTGGGGTCCTTAGGGACTAGTAAAGCGCTATACAAATACAGGCCATTTACCATTTTAGTGAAAATGGCTTTCACTGTGTCGCATCTGATTTCACATTTGTAATTCTAATTGCATTGCCCTTAATCCTGCGATGGTAGAAACATTAACGTGATTATTGTGCACACTAATCCAGAATTTACACCAAAATGGAAACCATTTATTTGTCACATCACAGATACCTGTCACAAAGCTGCAACTACCATACACTTAATATGCAGAAATGCACGGGTTTCGAGTCTTGATGTGTGAATTCTAACAGACAATATTCACATCCTGCTGTGACTTGGCTTTTATGTTAATATTTAACTGCATGACATATCTTTCATGGCTCATTGCAATCAAAAGCAGGAAACTAAAGAGAAAATTAATGCAAATAAGCAGCCAATGGATGCTTTAAAACTCGGATAAGCAACATATTTTTGTCGTCTGAGAAAAAACACCCCCAAAAAATTGGATATTACATTTTGTTTCCATACTGTATTTCAAGTGACCCGAGAGGGAATGCAGGGGTGTGGTTTGTGCAGTTCTACATAAAGTAGCATAAAAGCAAAGTATCTGAAAAGACTGGGGTTTTAATTTTTTTTGAAGTCTGAAGTCAGGATTTACTTATTTCCAGAGTGCATGAAGCACATGTTTGTGCCCGTGTTAGTCAGGTGGGAGAGGTTTAGAATGGAGGGGGGTAGATACCTATCAATTTCAGGCTGTTTTAGATTTCTGCCCACTGCTTACTCCTTAAGTAAAATGTCATTGTAGTGTACAATCTTGTTAGAGGCATGTCAGAGGCATGTGTAAATGTCATGCATTTACATTAGCCTGTGGGGTTCATTAACATTTAAAGAATTCGCGTTTGAAAAAAAAATCAGACAAGTGCAGCTAATTCTGATCTACTTC